AACCGCAATCCTTCTGCAGTGTGCGCCTTCATGACTGAATGTAAATTTTCTCTACTACTGAAGTTAAAGCCTGCAATAAATGGAACAGCTACAGCTTATTTCTGGTATTATGCATGCTAGTGATTAAAGATAAACTGGTTTTGATACCATATCTGTGCCTTTGCTCAAAGTGGGGAAATGCTTTAGAACTGCTCCGAGCTGGCAGCAGTACAGAGGGGCTGAGTGGGAGTGCAAGAAGGAGCACCGCAGAAGAGGCAGAATCTAATAATAACTCTATTCTCAGGAGCAGATTCAAATTAATGGACAGGATTTCACAGCTCCCTACAAAATCCTGGGCATGGTTCTATCATATTTTTCAAGTGGAAGTAGCTCTGTAAATAAGGACATTGAAGGTGGTACCTCAGCTTTGACCTAATTTCTCCTTCCTTTCCCCCCTCGCCAGAGTTAAAAAGAAGTGTTTAAAACACTCAGTTTTCAAACCTGAGAACTCAGAATATATGTCATAGTCCTACAAATAGGCTTTATGAATTTGGAGAGAAAATTAATCTAAACAAGTATATGTCAAAACTCTATATTGCTTTCAAAATAAGAATTAAAATATCTCACCAGATAGGTTAATGTTGCAAGTTCTTGGCCTATAAAACAAATAAAGATTTTTTTTTTTAGAAACAAAAACATTCTACATACTGTGGCAGCTTCAGGCATAAGCAAAACAGGTGGCCACAGGAAGCCACACTAAGGGAAGAGTGCAATCACCACACCTGAGGACTTGTTTGTACTCACTGCTATAAGTACAAAGAGAAACATGAAGTGGCTGGTGTTGGACAGAGTGGTTACCAGCCACCAAAATGGCATTTTCCCTACATGGAAATGCAAAGGGGCAGCAGTCATAAGCATAGGTAGTAAACTGCTTATTATTTAGACTTTTTAGGCATGTTTAGAACAATTGTATAAATGTCATTTGACCTTTGGATTTAATAAAAGGAATTTATGGTTAAATTAGTTTTGTGATAATACCCTGATAAATAATAATTCCAACAAAGAGTAAGATAAAAGTGACAATGACAAAAATAGGAAAACAAAAAACAAAAAGGGAGACAACAACAACAGAATGGAAGCAAAAGAAACAATGAAACTGTGAGACTGAAGATAAAGCCACAACACCATTGAAGTAACAATTTAATTTAAAAAAACACACACACACACACACACACACACACACACCTACATGCTAGCTGCTGTTTCAAGGTGTGGCTCAACAATGCAATTTATTCATTTTGTAAAATAAATTATACTGTCAGTATTCTTGGCTGTCTTCTCCTCAACCCCTTTTGATTACAAGAAGGGAGGAAAGAGAGACAGTAAGGAAGGACACACACATTTTTTCCCCACCTAGTGCATTATCACACCTAAAAACAGGCTCCAGTTAAATAAATAGGATATTACTCAAATTTCTTCCTTCAGACTTTTCAGACTGATAGGTTTCCATCATTTAGACATTTATGAAAACCTACATAAAAAGATTAGTTTAGAAAACTCTTACAGCCTTAGTTATAAGCCATAGTTATTTTGAGATATAACGCGACCCGATATAACACGAATTTGGATATAACG